CCCCAAAACCCCAAAACCCCTTTAGGCTAATTTACATTATTGATAAGATTCATCAGAAATAAAAACGTTAATAAGATATGATTAATAGAATGGGGTAAATCATTCATTTTCATATTACCTAACTCAATCAATGTTCTAATTACTTTGTAAAGTGCTTCTTTATTGAGATTAATTGCTAATGACTTTATTTAGAACCTCGTCTTCTCTTACCAAATGTAAACCGGTCTAGTTAGAATATTAATAGTTATTCATCTTGTATAGATGCACCTACTTCGATGGAGGATGATTTATCTGATGTTATTGTTGTAGTTGTAGAAATTCACTATGAGAGTTTCTATTCAGGTTATCATTCAGCTAGAAAGTAGCATTAGAAAACTTTCTATGCGAATCAGCAGCCATCATAGACTGATCTTTGGAGTTATGTACATTGGTTCTGGTCAGAGTTTGATAGGATTGCTGCTGAGACTTCATCATGATGTTTTCCATGAATACTCCATTTGTTGATTTTGTGTTCTTGCTATTCTAATACTTTTTGTGGCCTTTGTGAGCTAAATTGTTCATCAGTAAATCCATGACTCTTTCGAGTTCCATAGATCTCTCGTATAACTTATCATTGTAATCAGTTAAGTCTTTTCTATTTTTCTTGGTAATCATCAGATGCTGATCCTTTTTATTTTCCTCTAAGTTTGAGTCGAAACTACTAATTGAATCCCCATCGTGTTGCTTCCTTTTCTTTTTTAATTTTTTGCTAGATTCTTTAAAAGGGCTAAGTTATGATTAGGTCATAGAATGCTTTGTCATTGTCATCTGTCTTGAATCCTCATTAGTTGAGGAATAATTAAGATTCCCTACTGATAATACTTTAGGTAATTGCTTTTATCGCCTGTTTTATTCCATACTCAAATATTATGTAAGTTATAACGGAGAAAATGGGGTTATAGATGAAGTTGCTTCATCATTTGAACTAATTAAATTTTCTCTCTTAGCTATTTGCATTTACTGTTACCATGAATAGTCTGTTTTTATTGATTTATGAGGAGATTAACTATTTTAGATAGCCTGAATTAGCTCATGTTTAGTTTATCTAAGATTCATTAAGCTACTCAAATTCTTTTTTAAATCAGGTTGATTAGGATTGAACTTAATATAAGACTCAAAGAATTGCTTTCTTTTTGAGAGAGAATTGTAAAGATCAAGTTTTTGTTCAAGTATTTTTTTATCATTAAGGGGCATTATTCGAAAGGGTTTTGCCTGAGATAATTATTTATCTTATAAGCCAAAATTTATTTGACTATCTGTATTTTGATTCAAACTTTGTCTAGACATGCTTAGTTGCATCTACCTCAGAGTTTTCTTAGGCTTTAGTTGAGGTAGGAATACTTTCGAGGTTAGTTTGGATTTCTTGGACTAATCATCATTAATATTGAGTTTAGGCTGTGAGCGAGCAATTATCATCAGCTTGTGCGAACTCATTTCTTTATTAATTGATAAATTACCAAATTATTATAGAATTTTGTATCAAGGGGTTTTGGGGTTTTGGGG